ATCGTACTAGCATTGATACTGATGGAGTAAAGATACTCATGAAACCTCTGGTGACCAATGATACACTAAAGCAACTCTGGCTCGATAAAAAACATGAAGAAACTTGTTCTAGTTTACCTTATTATGAGGATATTAAAAATAGATTATACTTTCCGCTATTTAATTTTTAATAATTAGAAACCTGTTCTAGTTTACCTTATTATGAGGATATTTAAAAAAGATTATACTTTTCGCTATTTTAGTTTTTAATAATTAATTTACACAAATTTAATTCGTGATGTGTGACTATTATCTCAATACATTATACACAAACAATAAAATGCTATTAATCATGTGTTAGTCATGTGACAGTCAGTCAGTGCAGCTGTTGATTCTTAGTAGACGATAAATACCAAAAGAGAAGACATCCCTCAGTCTCTGATACATCATCACTAGCTCTTGCTTTGTTAATATCCTCCAGCCCATGGCCACCACTTATAAACACTTGATAATTACTATTAGTGTGTGTGGGCGGAACTGATACCAGGGTACTCACTCTATCAACGTGACCTCTGATTAGTGGGTGGAGTTGATGAGTGTTAGCTCCTCCCACTAGCGATAGTGTAATAAGGACACCAGTGGAGGTACCAATCAGTAGCTGAGATTGTGTACATGTCAATGAAGTGATGTAAGGATTGGTGCATTTGTGTTTCTTTATGATGAGATCATAATCTATAGGAGAGAATAAGAAAAACTTTACATTATGAATTTGGTATTGAGTAAATGTACATACTCAATATGTTTTCAGCGTATGAGAATACCGGTATGAGTGTTGCAGCTAGAGTTAGGGATAGAGAAGCAGATATGCTGCTTGCCATAGAGCACTCACATTTACCTCGTGTTGACACCCAAACACTGATCAATTAAAAACACGGCATGCAATATAATATTAAGAGATATCATGAATATGCATGAGATGTGATGTCATGAGTTCAATACAATGTCAATGAAAAGAACATACATGTACATGTAAATTATATTTTAAAAATAATAACTAAATGCAACAGTTTATAGTTCATGATGTAGTTATTGGTCTATGCTTACATCTCAGTGCTGATATTACACTGCTGCTGCAATCAACAGTGTGAACAGTTTCCATGACAACACCATTGAAAGAGCATATGTGAACAGTGAGTGAATTTAAAAAAACCAAACCAGCCGCAGCTGTAGGAGTAGTAACAATAGGATTGGAGCTGCAGCTGCTGGTAGTAGGTGCAGGTGAAGAACTTTTTGGACTTGGAGTTCTCTTTGTAACTGAACTGATTGATGGTTGGGCAATTGGAGGAGGAGAAGGAGGTATTATTAACTGATCAATTTGATCTGATAAACCGAATAACTCCTACAAAGATGAAATAAGAGAGAATCAGTCTTTATTTTTATTTGGAGGATTGTTTTTAAATTGCTGCATATTTTAAAATTCTTCTATTTTTTAAATAATTGATGATAAAAATTAGAAAATAGAAGAATTTTCGCACATAAACGCCCACTCAAGGGCGGGGCTCATTTCAAAGGTACGTGCCGGTGAGGCTCATTTTCAAGCATCATGGAAATCTCTTTTAATGCTTTCTTGTCCTCTACTACTCCAACTATAAAGGAGCTAACTGAGCATGTTAATGTTAGTACTAACTGGTACCTTGTTGGTACAATGCTTGACTTGGATCAGAAACGATTAAGATCTATTGAAGCTCACACTGGCCACAATGACGCTCACAAGATGATAGAGGTGTTCAATATATGGCTGACCACTACTCCTACTGCTAGTAGGAAACAAGTACTGGAAGTATTGAGAAAGAGTGTAGTGAAAGAGAACACACTCGCTTATGAATATGAAAAGCATTTGAGGGAATTGCACCAAGAAACTTGTAAGCTGTGTATATCTATGTTATGAGTGTCTGATACTAATTTTATCTTGTTATAGATGTAC